CAGATTTTCTTCCTTTAATAAAGCTTGAATGGTACCCGGCATCTCGGCTCACTTTCTTTCACCTATTACTCATAAATTATACCCAACACACTGCATACCCATCACACATACAATGTACACTCCATATGCTACATGTATGCACTTACCCAACGTAAACTTGTATATCTGTCAGAGTATATGTTGCCACCTATATAGTACATCCAGCACATAGCCTATCCCTCCCCATCACCCACACAATGCATGAGGGTACTTCAAAAAGTTCCTGGAAAAACAGAATTAAAAGATATTACGAATCTCTCCATGAACTTTTTGACGTGCCCTCATATACTCATCATAAACAGTATACCCATTATAGACTCTGTATATGCTTTGTATGCTATTACTCACAAAATAGAGCTGTCACACACATTCAAGGTATACCTTCACACAGCACATACAATAAGTATTCCACATACAGCCTATATTGGTCACACCCATGGTATACGAACCACAGTCTATAGTGGTTAGGCACAGCACATGCCCATCCTACAGAGTATATGCACATAAAGAATATGGAACATATATATATACATACATTAATACACCAGTGTTTTGTTGTACGAGAGGTCTTCAAAAAGTTCATGGAAAGATTCATATTATCCTTTAATTCTATTTTTCCATGAACTTTTTAAAGTACCCTCCTATATGATTACCCAAAATATAGTCATTGCAAATACTGTACAGCCATCCCATATGGCAGATCCAATGAGCATTTCCTCCGAGCATCACGGTGGTGCTCAAAAAGTTTCAGATTTTGAAGCATTCTGGGTTTCAGATTTTTGGATTTGGGATGCTTGATCTGTACACATAGCAAACATCTAATCACACAGAGAACATACCCACCATATACACATGATATATCTGTCATACACGCTGTACAGATACACAGTGAATATCTTCTTTTTCACATACAGTAATTGGAAAAAGGCACCGTATATGCAGAGACAAGGCTGCATTTTGGACAAGCGCATGGGCACTTGGTCCTCCACTCCTTCCAGGCAGTTGGCTGAGAGGGTGGGGCATTGGCCTTGCCACCCACCGGTAAGATAACCATGGACAATACTCTAAATAAACTCAAAATACTACCGGTATCTGCCTTAGCCCCTACTTGACTCTGTGAGCATCTGGGGAGATGTCCTTTACAAACTGTAGTCTGCAGGGCTAAGGTCTAGTGTGGCCTGCTGTCCATATCAGTCAGCTTCATTTTACCTCCCCCCATTTGGGAGGTATTTTTACTATACTATTTACTATAGTATGTAGGTATATACTATATATACTAATATACATAGTATACCAGTAGATACTATTTACTATATACGATAGTATGTAGGGGTCCAAAACCAGGAGGTGGACCCTTAACTACTATATAGTTACTTATGT